ACTTTGGGATCCCTAACCACTTCCTGTTTCTGTGCTGAAGTCCATGTGCTAACTTTCACTCAACAGGAAGAGACTCACTTTATTTCAAAATAAAAGCAGGGCTGATTTAAGAAAGTAAATTACTCTCAGTTTAAGACAGTACATTTCAAAATAAAAGCCTCACTGTTTTCTGAAGTGATGACAGCCCTAAAGTTTATCGATCATTTGACAGATTCATTTCTAAATTCAGACAAAACAAACAAATCTTTAATTCCTTCTTTGTTATTTTGTGTGACGCTTGCGGCGCTCACGGTGGAAACACGAGCATCGAGGCGGGGGGGGGCTGAGGGGGGGCTGAGGGGGGGCTGAGGGACGTTTGTTTTGTTCTTCAGAAGTTGACCACGACCCCAACCTGACGGACATCTTGAAACACGCGAGCCGCCCCGTGTGTCGTACTGTACACGACTTTCTAACAGCATCACAAGAACCCAGCTCCGACTTTTTACCGGCTCTGTTTCAAAAACAAACACACAAACAAACAACAACAAAGAAACAACAACAAACTGCAACTCACAAACTGGAAGTGACTTGAAAAAACTAACAAAGTGACGAAGCGCTCAAAGGGAAACAGGAAGCTGCAGGAGGGAAGCGTCCTGATTGGCTGAAGATGTTTGTTGATGTTAAAGTGACTCGTCTTTGTTTTTCTCCCTTTGTGCTCCTGAAGCCTTAAATCTGACTCCTCCTCCTCATCGTCATCACAACGCCATGTCTCGATGTCGAGGCGCCGAGCGTCAGATACCCAGCTCTGGATTCAAACTGAAACTTCCTGTCTTTAAAATAATGAGGGGGGGGGCGTCTGTCAAAAGTTCCCAAAGTCACATCTTAAACTTTGAAGATTTGATTCATTTCTTCTCACATTTAAAATTAGATTTTGCACTCAGATGATTCTTTAAAAAGTAAAATGTTTAGAGATGAAGCACAATTTGAGATTAAGTTTTTAAAGACGTGAAAACGACGACAAGAGAATCAAAGAACGGAATCGTTAAAACTAACTCAACTTTTCCAAAATATCACAATGTTCATCACAACGTTTTCAAATTTAGTTTAAATTTTTGAAATATTTTGAGTGAATTTTCTATTTTTTTCTGGAAACTAATCCATTGTACTTTGGGAACTTTCTGGAAACTTGTGACGAGCAATTTTTTATTCTTATTTTACATTTGTAATAATAATGTAATATGTAATGTAATAATCATAATAATTCTTAAAGAAAATAATTTTGGATTTATGGACCAAAAAACAGAATCATTTATGACCATTAACCACAATATGTTCAACCTAAAGCACAAAGGTGTAAACTAATATTTATACTGACCCGTAGTGTTTAAAATGGGTACTGCAGTCTAAATTCTAAACATCATAGAGAGCTGTCCCCCCCTCCCCCTCCTCTCTAGAGTGGATGCTCACTCAGGTCACCATGTGGTGGACTCTGAAGCTTCAGTGTTTATCCAGCTCTGCATGGGTCTGTAAACCTTTCTGTGTTCTAACCTCTCTCCATTTTTCAAAAGCATCTCCAATATTGATCCTAGTTTGAGCACGTTTCTGCTCGTGGAGCTTATTAGAAACATGCAGAGGCTTTTTAGGTCGGGTACAATCACTTCTATCTGAACCACTTCTCTTGACCGCTTCCATCACTGCAACACCTGTTGACCTGATAACTGCTCTCATATCTGACAAACTGAGGGGCGTCCAAAACGGCCGTATGGGGGGGGGGGTCTTAAAACCGCCTACCTTCTCTGGTCCAAACAAATCCAGAGCATTCAGGAGCAGAATCTAAAGTTAGAAGGAGGACATACTGGCTGCTGCATTGTTGTCAGAGAAGCCAGCACTTCAACATAGCATGTTTCCTTAATGATCAGAGAGTAAGATACCTTTATCATCTCACTCTCTACACTGCTCACTGATTGGATCTTTTTGTTTTTACTTTTTCATAAAAATGCTCTTCACAAGTCTCCAGATATAAGATCGACTGCGACGGACAAAATATCTTTAAATATATTTGGAATATTTTGAAATTTGGGGGTTAAAATGTCGGTGTGATTTTTCCTCGACTTGACAGTGAATTTGATGTTTGATTATAAATCACAGAGGTCAGCTGTTAGTTTTGGGTTTATTTGCACTCAGAGGCGACGCCATCCTCGATCAAAGTCCTCCATGTTTGCTTTTGTCTCCGTGTTGTTTTTAAACTGAAGTATACACAGGACACCTCGTCGTCTCCTTCAGACGAGTCGTCCCCTCGTCTCCTTCAGACGAGTCGTCCGCTCGTCTCCTTCAGACGAGTCGTCCCCTTCAGACGAGTCCTCCCCTTGTCTCCTCAGTGTTACCGACGGCGACGACGTAGTTTGATAGTTCCTGCGGCTGAATGTATCGATAGCAGAGACTGCTTTATCTGTGAAAGTGGTTTGTTTAAAGACTTTCTGTTGACGTGTTCTTCCTTCATCTTCACCGGTCGAAGCTTTTCATCTCTTTTGAACACGCTTCATGTGCATGTTCTCCGTCACTTCTGTTGCTTACTTTATAAACTGTACGTACTTTTACCTGTATTTATTTATTGAAATACACATTATCAGAAAACTGACGAGTGTCTCTGCTCATTTCCAGACTTCAGTTGTGTTGAATGATTTTTGTTTTTCAGGTCTCTCACAGCAGGAACTTCTACTGGTCCTGAATCAGCCGTGAACTTCAACAATCTCATTCGTGTGCCGACACGTTCACAGAAAACGTTTAACCCTCATGCATCTGCATATGGACTCTCTCATTTTGGAACGCACATTTCATTTTTTTAATAGATCAATAGAACACTGAAACATGTTTACGACCCTCTGAAGTCACTAAGGACAGAAATGTCCACTTATAAAAAAGCTTCTATAAAAATAGAACAGATTGATATTTTTTTCTTCTTGTTTTGTATAAATCTCTTAAACAACTTCAGTCCTGCTCTAAACTACCAAACATCCAATCATTATCAGGAATTTAAATTCCTAAAAATGATTGAATCTGACGCTTCCTCTCCTGCTCTCCAGTGGAGAAAAGTCAGTCTTTCAGAGGCTTTGAAAAGTGGTCGTTAGAGTTCTATTGGGTCGGGGGCCGGGTTTGTTCAAATGAGACCTCAAGTGGGCCGGACTAATTTTGCCAACATCACTATAACTCAACACATATATAGACTGATGTACGATTGTATAGAAAACATTAAGTAGAGGGGTTAACTGTCATTACAAACTGCAGGTTGGTACATAGAAATATTTAAATGTACCACACAAAGACAACATCAATAAATATGTTTTGTTTGAGATTATTTTATATATATATATATATATATATATATATATAGAGAGAGAGAACCTGCTCACATGAATAAGTTGTCACAAACACACAGAGTGTCTTTGATGCATCTTCAGGTATTTTAGTGTTAGGCATTATAAAATAAGTTTCCAAACCAACAGACTTGAATTGATCCTTCAGTTGATCACTGCAGTCTGATCAGCTCCGTGTGGAGTTCACGTTCTTCAACTAAGTAAACTCAGTTAAACCACTTTTGATGAGTCTGGCAGTCCGTCCTTCTACGTGTCCGCAGAAGATAGTTCAAAGTGCCCCGTTTAATTAATATTCATCACTACTTTCATTTGTAGTTTGATTTTTATCCCATGCTGAGTGAGTGACACGCCCCCTAAACAATAACAGGAAGATTTCAGAGATTTTTATGGTCTTGGTCTCCTCTCGGTCTTGATCCCTGAATGTCTCAGTTAGTGTGGTCTAGCTACCCTTACTCCAATGAGAGTGAGAACGTGTTCAGCTCTCCCTTAAAAACACAGAAACCTCTCTCAGCATCAGAAGAGATTTAAAGACTTTAAACGGTTTGTTCTGAGTGTAAAATCTAAAATCTATCAGCCCACTAGAAGAAAGATCATTTAGAGATGTAGAGTGATGGAAAGAAAAGAGGCAGCAGCGGTCGTGGTTTGATTCCTTTTATTCCCCGACACGTCTTTACAAATGTTCTCGGACGATGACAGCATGCCTCGCCTCGAGAGGCCGAACCGAAGGCCACACAAAGGACACTTGGAAAAAAAACAAAAACAACAACAGAGTCCATGTCGACAGAAAAATGAAGATTAAAATGAAGAGCCGGTCCGTGTCACACCTTCCACACTGATGTTTTTGTAAGAAGCTCTCCGGGAGGGGGGGAACATTCACACGGTGAGGGGGGGGGTTTCAATCGCGCCCACACAATAAATAGTTTCCAGAGCACAAAAAGAAGAAACACGGCGACTCCTCGAGAAACTAAAACTAACGGTTACTGCAGATATTTCATTTGTAAAACCAAATCGACTTTTTATTCGGAGGTTTCCCCAAAATTAAACTCAGTGGTGAAGACCGTACGAGTCAGAACTCGTCTGCGCTCGCTCTTTTCACCCGACGACCAAATTAAAACAGTAAAATCAAACAGAGAGATTTAAGAGACGTCGTTTTGTTCGTCCAATAAAAACAGCAGCAGCAGCGTCCAACCGGAGGAATGTAGCCGAGTCGGAGCGTCAACGACGACGTCGGCATGCTTTTTTTTTTTTTTTTTAATAACGGTGATTCTAGATAAAACGTTTCACAGTATGACGAGCGATATGATGAAGATCTGAGGGGAGCGTGATCGACCAGGAGGGAACAGGTGAGTGTGTTTACGTGTGTGGATAAAACCGGAGGATGAACCAGGGGGCGGAGTCTGCTGAGAGCGAGGAGGGGGGGAGGTGTGTGTGTGTGTGTGTGTGTGTGAGAGGGGGGTTCAGCCTTTCTTCTCTTCCAGCGTCTTGTGGAGCTCGTCGGCGTCCTCGGCGGTCTTGACCCTGATGAGGAGGGGGACGGGGCTGGAGGGGTTTTTGTCGTCGAGGGTCGGGTTGGGGACGCACACCACCATCACGTTGTTCTTCCCGACGCGAGAGCACGGCATGGACGACTGCACGACGATGTTCAGCAGGATGTTTCCTGGAGACGAGGGACAAACAGAAGGTGAGGGAGACAGGTGAGGGTCGTCATGACAACAGAGTGTATCACTTCACATTTGAATCTATGTGTCATAAAGACTTGATGACTCTCAGCAGGAGCAGCGTCATCATGGTGTCCTGAGGGAGGCGCCCTGACGGAGGCGCCCTGACGGAGGCGTCCTGACGGAGGTCACCAGTCTGAGGCTCAGGTGAGAGAACTGTTCTTGTTTCTTCAAACTGAACCTGCTCTGTTATCAAACATCATATAAAGTTTTAATGTTTTTCTTTGAGGCCTTCAGTGACTCAGTGAGGATGCTGCAGTTCTTCTGTTTGACCAGCAGGTGGAGCTGTTTGATCACAGCTCAGCTTCTTGTGTGTGTGTGTGTGTGTGTGTGTGTGTGTGTGTGTGTGTGTGTGTGTGTGTGTGTGTGTGTGTGTGTGTTGGGGTTAATGCAACAATTAAAGAGACTTAAAGTAGAATCTATTTTCTCTTTGAGCTCCCCTCCCTGCGTTCTCTTCTTCCTGTGGACTCAGCGTGTCCCCGTCTCCGTCTCCCTTCATCTTTCTTGGTTTTTCTTACCCAGGTTTGTGTCTGCGCGGATGATCAGCTGAGTCTTCCCGTCCTCCATCTCTTTGAGGTGCAGCGTGCCGACTCCTTTGTCTTTGAACTCGTTGTCCTTCTTGTAGAACAGTTTACACCTGAGACACAAAACACACATTAACACAAACAGGAAGAAGACGAGCGCGAGGACATCTTCACTTCCTGCTGCGCTCACAGATCTAGATCCACGGTCGTCATGACAACAGAACTTTAAACTCTGAGATGTTTGAAACCATGGCAACAAAAATATTATATACATAAAGGATGATTCAATTCTGATCGTGACTTCAGGTGTAAAACCCAAAGTGGAGGTGGTTCATCAGGACTCACTTCTTGGAGTAGAAGGCGTCGTCCTCCCTCACCTCTTTGACCTCGGGTTTGGGCGGCTCGTCCGACTCCTCGTCGGCGTTCTCGTCTTCAGAAAGAGAGAGAAAAAAAAAGATTGTTTTAATTTGAACATTTCACCGGATCAGAAACGAGAAGCGAGCCGTCACACTTTAATAAAAAAACATCTGTGATTTTTAAAGAGGATTAAAATCTGACTTGTTGACGTGTGAATCTCTGGACTCTGATTGGCTCATTAATCTTCAGATTAAAGGCGATCATCCTGATTGGCTCGACACCTTCCTGCTTTAATCTCCACTCATTACCAACATTAAATCCACCTGAGTGACACGAACACCGACAGCGACCTGACGGAGGCGACTTCACGAGAGACTGAAGGTGTGGAGACGAGGAGACGAGGAGACGAGGAGACGAGGGGACGAGGGGGGCGGGTCGCCACAGCTCGCCGTGTTTTGCTTCGATTGATTTGAACGTGCACTGAAGATCTTTGAGCTGCCACGTTTGAAGGTTTGTCGTTTTAAAAACGGCTTCAAGCAGACGCTCCTGAATTCAACGTCAACGCTCGACTTCCCCGGAGAAAACGCCAAGTGGACACGGGGAGAAAACGCCAAGTGGACACGGGGAGAAAACGCCAAGTGGACACGGGGAGAAAACGCCAAGTGGACACGGGGTGAAAACGCCAAGTGGACACGAGGAGAAAACGCCAAGTGGACACGGGGTGAAAATGAAGCGTCATCGTTTACTCAGAACATTTATGACCTTAAAGATGAACCGATGATTCTCCTCACAGCGAGCACAGATCATTGATCAGCTGATCATTAAATCAAACGTTTAATCATCGTCTGTAACTCTGCAGGTTACAGCTTCCTGTTTGGTTTCACAATAAAAGGTTTTTTAAAGGAGGAGGAGGATCTCGTGTCAGCTTTTAAACTTCTTCCTGTTTTTTTAATGGACGAGAGATTCAGCAGCGTCTCTAACACGAGTTTCTGTCCTAACGCCCAAAAATATTTAATTTATTAACATTTAAAGAAATAAAAAACATGTTAATCTTTAATTTAAGAATCTGAATCCAGACAATATTAAACTTAAAACATTAGATATGAAAGTCCACTGCACAGCTCCTACATTTCACCTTTTGTACATTTTATATTTGACATTTTTAAATTCTATTTTATATATTGTAATATCTTCTTATTCTGTATTATTTAAGTTGTTGTTAGTTCTGCTTTATTTCCTTGTTAATTGTTTAGCACCAATAAACCAAGTCAAATTCCTTTATGTGTAAATGTACTTGGCAATAAATTCTGATTCTGATTGTAGAGAAGAATAAATCTGCAGCAGCTCTGAATGAGTTTCTCTGCTTCCTGTTTGAGCAGAAGAAGAGTTTGAAATGTTAACAGGAAGTCTCTCCACATGCTCACACGTTGATTTCTCTTACCTGCAGGCTGAGCGTCGCTGCTCTTGTTCCCGCTGAAGGACAGCGCCGCAGCAGATCCCGGCGCTCCGAACAGAGAGGAGGAGGTGCTGGAGGAGGCGCTGGAGGAGAAGGAGAAGCTGGGGGGGGTCGACTTGGAGCCTAGGGAGGCGAGCACCGAGCTGTCCACCTTCTGACCGAAGTTAAACGTGACGCCGGGGCTGCTGCTGCTGCTTTTCTCGTCTGTGGAGTTTTTACTGAAGGAGAACAAAGACGCTGTGGGAGCGGGCGCCGCCGCCGAGCTGCCCGAGGACGAGGAGGACGAGGATGAAGAGGAGGGAGGAGGAGAGGAGGCTGTGGATTTCTTCTTCTCCTCGGAGCCCGCGTCTGCAGCAGAGCCGGCTCCATACTGGCGCTCGATGCTGGCCAGGTGGCGTTCGTAATCCCTGAAGATGGGGTTGAGGTCGCACAGGGGGTTGTCGTTCACGTGCTTGGTGATCCAGTCGCGCACCGAGCAGTTGAGCGCCGTGAGCTGCCGGCTGTACTCCTTGTTGCTCACACTGCCGCCGCTGCTGCTGCAGCCCGAGCTCTGAGCCGGGCTGGGGGTGGAGCCATTGGTCTGCTTGGCTGTGATGTCAGTGGTGGGCTTGGTGGAGGCGGGGCCATTAAACGTCAGACCTGATGGAGAGAGAGAGTGTGAGTGTGACAGCAGCCCCCTCCCCCCTTCAGACCC